GAAAATGTCAAGAGGTCACTGACTCTACCAAAATGGTAGCATCAAAACACAGAAGAAGCTTTGCGCAGTGGCAGAATCATAGTCAACAAAGTTCTTCTGAGGCTCGATTATTGCTAAAAACACAACAGGTTTTTGCGGAGAATATCTGGTTGGCTATGATATCTACTGTGGAAAACTGCTTCATTCTGTTGAAATTCTTATAGAAAAGCTTTTAGTTTGCATGTTACAAAGAACCAGTTTTAATTTTATGTAAATAAAACAAATTTGCGTGAAAGACACATCCCACAAGAACACAGTTCTTGCTGGTGTGGTTCTGACCTGCATGCCTGTCCTCTGGGGGCGGTCATGGTTTATCTCTGCCTGCTTCTCTCCTGCCTAAGTGCATGTCTCCATCGCACGGAAGAGTCACCAGCCCCTGAGGCCTCAGCACTTGTCTTTCATTTCTGAACTGAAGGGTGACACAGACAATCACTGTCAGGAAGCTAGTGATGAAAATGAGCAGAAGTTATCATTAAGCATGGTCAATTTAGGGGCTGCTGCCAAGGATGAGGTATGCATTATCCAGCAGAGGCAATGAATTATAATGAAACGTAAAGTCCAATCAAAGCGACACCGGCAGCTTTGGAACTGTCCGTACTTCCAATGTTTCCCTCGGGAGCTGTGTGACTGTGCCCCATAGCCTGGGGTTGAAGAGCAGCCCAGGCCTGTGTGTTAAGTGGGTGGTACCAAGCAGCTGTGGAGGAAGATCCAGGTTCAGAAAAGGCAGAGAAGGACATAAATCTCTTAACTATATTTGGAAAATGCTCTGCCCTGAAAGTGGTAGAAAGTTCCACAGAAAAAAAGGAAAAGTTACTGCTGAAAAAGATGATGATTCTGATGAGGAAACTGAAGAGAAATTACCAGGGAAGAAATGCATATGAGATAGGTCTGCACAAAACACAAAAATCAAACCAAAATGGGCAAGACTCAAGAGCATTAACCCCCAGACCAACAGGTCAAGAATCCTTCATAGAGGAAAAACCTCCTCAGTACCAAAAGGACCTAATTCTGCAAAAGATGTTAAAGGAAAACTGCAAACAGGTGTAGAGCAAGGTGGTTCTCTCCCCAAAGCAGGAGCCAAGTTCATCCATTATGTGGAAAATTGCTTCCAGGTGGCTGACCAGGAGGCCACCCAAGATCTCTAGCACTGGAGGAAGGATCTTTAAGGAAAATTGTTTAAAGAGTTTAAAAAAAACTTTTCCGCCTTATTTCACCCCTATCACAGCTGATATCTGGTTGACCTCTTAATAGTGCAAAATGAGAACTTTCTCTGCCATGTTTGATAAATGTCATCTAGTTTCCAAGGGCAAGATTGCACCAATTAAAATGTCTGTCTAGCTTTGAAAGACAAAAGTTGCCCTCTGCTTGGGTTTAAGTATATCAGAGTGCTATGATAGGACATCACAGTAGTGTGGGTTGGTAGATTCAGAAATGGTGGATAGACAAAAATATACATGTGAAATCAACTCAGTGTTTTAATTAAGTAAAAAAAAAATAGAGTTCTTGAAAATTTGATATGTGAAAGTCAAACCAACCTACCCCTAGGCACTTGGTCACTGAATAAATGAATAATGGAAATTTAGCTGACGGAGACTGCAGTAGCTTCAGCCATTACATGCAAAACGAATTCAACCTGGCTCTAGTGCCAGGGACCAAAAAACCAGAGACACACCAGTAAGAATTGTATTATTACAGGGCATGCATTTTTATGCAAATTTATTTATTTAAGTAGAATCAAAATTGATTATTTTTAGCATGCATTTTACTGTCTTATACCTGCACAGGACAGAGCAGAACAAGAGAGACAGACAACACTCTGGGAGGCTGAGGCAGTAGGAGAAGTCTGAGCCCAGCTTGGATGACTTAGTGACTTAGAGAGAACCTGTCTCAAAATAACAAAATAAAAAGGGGCTGGGAATGCAGCTCAGTGCCAAGGCCCTGGGTTGAATCCCCAGTACAACAAGCAAATAAACAAGAGCGGGGGACATCCCCCTCAAACTCTCCTCTGCTATTTGCAGAAAGGAATGGAACCAGGAATCAGAGGACGTAGAGGTCAATCTGACCCTTCGCTGTAATTGGTTGGAAAGCTTGAGGCTAAGAAAAAACTCAAGCTGTGAATGACAGATAATCCCATGTGGAGATGGAGTGACCTCCAGCTCGAGTCCAGGGAAAGGGGTGAAGGAAGGAAAGGTGAGAATTTGCGGAAAGATACAGACCCCGTCTTTAGACTCATCAAGAAAAGGGCTCATTGTTTTGTATATGAATAATGTGATGTGTGAATAATGTAATTTTAAATATGTTGCTAGATATAGTTTTATTTTTACAAAATGAGCAAGCTTTCCCCTCTGTCTGAGTGTTACCCTAAAGGGTGAGCCCGTGGGCTGTGCTCCTGCTTGCCACCAGGAGGGGCAGATGCAGCTTCCCAGGAAGGGAAGGAAATCTCTCTCTGGGCTACAGCTGCCAAAGCCCTGGGCGGAAGGGTGGTTCTGTGCAGAAACGCATGGTCTCTCAATAAGATCTTGACAACATTTGAGGTTAATGAACTAATTGAATTTCCTTCCCATCAAGGATCTTGTGACAAAGAGGAAGAGCTAGGAGGTGGGGACAGCCGTGCTGGAAGAGCTGTGTCCACGTGTGTGGTCATAGGGTGACGGTGAGCTCAGCAGCCACCAGAGGCTGTGAATAGAAAACGAATCTCCTACATCTCCCAGTCATAAAAGGGAGCTCGGGAAGATATAAACCAGCTCCTCACTAAAAACCTGACCTTCACGGCTGTAATATTTATTCTCTGCCTTGCTAAGCCTCACTGTACTTCGTCTTGATCCCAAGAGGTTACTTTAACAGCATGGGGTTTGGAGTCAGCCAGCACTGAGCCGGGACCCCCGCTCTTCTGAGTGCCGGCAGGAATGTGCAGGGCAGGCGATGTCACCGCTCTAGGTCCCACTTGTAGTGACAACCCCGACGCTTTTTTTGCAGGGTTCTTGAGTGGGAGCAAACTCAGCCACCAAACACAGTCAGGCAGTGATGGCAATCACTGTTACTATCAGTATTTTAAAAATTCCAGAAGCTGCTCATTCACGGTGGTGTTATCTCAGAAGATTGCTGCGAGGCTCTAGTGATTGCGTGCGGAAACTGCGCCTCACCATGACTCTTGTCCTTGGTTCCCGGTGTGTTTGGCTACTGTCCTACTGCACCCTAGGTCTAGGGCTCCTGAATGCTGACCGATGTAGTTCACCATTAGCACGGTATGTCAGGCATACCCCGCTTTTAGAGTTTTGAGTTTAACAAATTTATATAAGATGGAATGAAATATCCATCATCCTCAGCAAATTCTATTGTTCCCAGAAGGGGTAGATAAATCTCCAGGCATAATTATATTCTTGCCTGTCATGACCTTTGAAGATGTCTATCTGCTTGAAAATGAATAGAATAATTCCTTTCCTGAAGAACACTTGAGTTTCTGTTTGAAATATGCTTTTGATGAAAGATTCCTATGAATACCTTATTTTCCATAGGGCAGGCTGTCTTCAGCTTATTCGACTTAATGTTTAGAATATGCTATGAGCAACAAACCAGCACACTTTACTGTATATCTGCAAGTACTTATGTCCCCTGTGCCGGAAGTCAAATGAAATTGTTTTATCTGTGTTTGTTTTCCAAGGACACACCCAGATTCTGCTGAGCTTGGTGGGGAACAGAGAGCAGCAATTGTAAACATTCACGCTGTGATGAATGCTCTCCTCTGGAACAATACTCTTTAGTAACTCCTGCTGTTTGTTTAAATTAGTGTGGGAAAATGAGAACACCTCAGCCTGAGTATTCACAGGGGACGTGCACAGCAGCATGACGTGATGCCTTTCTGAACAGTCCTTAATCTCGCCAAAGTGTGATGGCGGAAAGCACGAGGCTTGAGAGAGAAATGCAGGGTGGAGACCAAGCGGGGAGGACAAGAAAGCAGGGGAGAGAAACGGGGAAGGAAGGGGAAGGTGGAGACAGAAAGCAAGATAAAAATGAAAGCAGCAAAAAGCCACCCCTGCCAGATTTTCCGAGCTGTGCAGCTGGTTTCTACGGCGCCTGACTCAGCCAGGGCCTTGGGATGAGGGGAGGCCTGGCCACGCGTGGAAACGCTGTGTGAGCCCGGTGGCCACACTGAACCCTAAAGCAGCTCCATGCTCAGTTCTCCTTCCTAGAAACTTTTGGGCCCAGCCATGGATTTGTGAGAGGTCGGCTGAGCTGAGCAGTGCAACCCAAGGTCAAGAGGCAGCAGGAAGCCCGGGGACCCAATCCAGAGCGACACGGAACCCTCACTCCTGGCAGCAAAACTACATGGGGGCTCCATGAACCACAGATGTAGACACCTCTGGGATGCTGGGCAGGGCTGGCGACTCGTCTCCACCACCAGACCATCTCCCCAGGCACTGCTACCATGTTACAACAGATCACTCAATCTGTCAAGCACACGCCAGATGTTACAAGGGACATGTGGTGTAGTGCCAGACGCTTCCTTTTGTTAGTGAGGATGTGACCAGGAGTTCCAAGGGAGTCCCAGACCACTGCTGTCCCTGAGACTGGCCATGCTGACCATTGTACTGGGGACAGTGTGACCAGTAGGCCCCTGGGAGTGGTTGGCCATGCTGCCATTCCTGAGATAGCCCTCCACTGGGGAGACACAGGGGAACTTACCTTGTACAGCCACGAGGGTTCTGGGGCTGGGACAAGAAGTGAGCACAGCGGTTCCTGGGGGGAAGCCTTCACTAATGGGCCAGTTGGTGGGCTCCAGTGAGCCTGCCGCCCTCAGTTATCTAGCGATGAGTCACACTGGCTCTGGCAAGATCAGAACCCATCTCTGTAGAAGTCAAGATGCCCTGTTCCTGCCCTGCGGGTTGAGCTAGCAGTCAATGTTCTGTGCTCCACTATGTTCCACAGAGTTCTAATTAAGAGGAAATGAAAAACCATCTTACCCATGAGGAATTTTGCTCAGGACATAATATCCAGTGTAGGAGTGCCGGTAGATCTGAAACAGATAAAGGGAGAACAAGCATTGAGACATGGCTATGGCTATGATATTTCTTTTCAAGTCACTGAATGTTAACCAACATCAGTGGGCAAAAAGCAGCGAATCTGAAGACCTAGAGGCAAAGGCATTTATTGACTTAAGATGTCAATTTGCATATCCTGTTTATTTTTACCACTTGCAGTGTATATAGGGCAGCCAGAGGCATGATCTCATCTCCATCACCACTTGGATTGTGGTTAAATTAGGGGCACAGGTAGTTTGCAACCTATCTAAATACGGCACAAGCCTAATGAGGGCACTGTGGTCCTGGAGATCACCAGATGGCGCTCTGCTGGAGCTGCTGCCCTTCATGGTCAGGAGCTTCTACTGTGTGTCTTCAGATGTGCTTAGCTGGTAATCCTTGCTTCTGCGCATAATGCCATGTGCACCTTCTGGCCTCTGAGAGAGTGGTCAACAAGAACTCCCCACAAAAGTGGAGTTATAAGGAGCTGACTTTCAAACTGGAGGGAATGAGAAACCAAAGCAGACTTCATAAACTCCTAGAACTCCAAATCATGGGTGCCTCTCTTGATCTCTTGAGATGGGAGATCACTCCCCAATGCATAAATGCAGCAAGTAGAGTTGGTGGAACATGGCAGCCCAGGGAATGTTAATGGCCTCCACCCTCAGCCTCCTGGAGAGAGACCCTCCCCAACACAGGGAGTGTGATGGGTTATTCTGGAGGATGGGAACGAGACACTATTTCACTTCCCTTCTTCTGCCTGTGAAGCTATGGAGGTCAATGTGTGGCTGACTACTTGATGATTAGCATGTAAAGCTGTCTCTCTAAAGATAGTGGGGTGAAGGAGGACATATGCCTTTGGAGTGTGCATGAGGGACATAAGTCTACAAAAGGAACTGGGTCAAATTTGCTAACCCCTTGTTCTGTTCCTAGTCTGAACCAGTGGTCTCCAACTGTTTGGCATGAAGAACCAGTTTTGAGGAAGGTGATTTTTTTTCATGGGATGGGAAGGTGGGGTGGAGGGATGTTGGGGTGGTGGTGGTTTCAGGATTAGATTCTCATACAGGGAAGGTAACCTAGAGCCCTCAGATGCACAGTTCATAGTAGGGTTCGAGCTCCTATGAGAATCTAATGCCTGGCTAGTCTCACAGGAGGTGAACCTCAGGAGGTGATGCTTGTGGCGGGAATGACTGGAAACACAGATAAAGCTTCTGTTGCCTGCCCACTTACTATGCACCTGCTGTGTGACCTGTTTCCTAGCAGGCTACAGTCTAGTAACCAGCTGTTATGGTTTATGTCTGTGTGTTCCCCCAAACCCTCATGTAGCCATGGGGCAGGCTATTAGAGTTTAATTATGGGTGTGAGAGCTACACCCGCCCTGGGGTGGATAGTTTGCATATGTAAGGGAGAAGAAAGGGGTGCTTGAGGCCATTCCTCCCCCATTCTTCCCTAGTGTGTCCTGGTTGTTGCTTTGCTGTGTCTGCTGCCATGAGCTGTAGCTCTCTGCCATGTGCCACTCTGCCTTGTAATCTGCCAAGTACGGATTGAAACCTCCACAAACTGTAAGCGAAATAAACCTTTCCTTCCTTAATTTTGGGCATCAGGTATTTTGTCCCAGCAGTGAGAAAAAAGCAACCAAGACACCAGCCCATTGCCTAGAGGTTGGTGACCCCTGGTCCAGCCCACTGAGTCATTTCTTTCAAGGACTCACAGTGGACTTGAAATTATTCAGTGAAAATGAACCTAGATACAAAAGCGAACAGCAATACTGAAGTCCCAACAATCTGCTGCTTCTGGCAACCCTGAGATTCCTGAAGCAGAAGCGTGGGTACCAGGGTGGCCACTAGAAGGTGCTGGATGGGCAAACACTGCTCCAGTCACAAGGAGACAGCCACGCTGGGCAGACTCTGGCCAGCTCCTGAGCACACACGGCTCTGGCATCTGTATGAGGGAGATGTTATCACCCAGTGTCACAGGCAGGAAAACGGAATCTGAGGGCATCTAAATCAAACCCCAGAGGGACAGGTTGTGAGGTTTGTCTCTCCTGCCTTGGAAAGTGCATTGCTCAGTTCTCAAATTGCTAGTTCAAGTCGATGTTGATCATCTGAAAAGTCCAGAATGGGACCAACCAGTGGAGGGAGAGAGGGAGAACAGGAGGGGAGGGGAGGAGGATGGAAAAAAATTAAGATGTGCTGTGTACACGCACAGCTCCCCACGATGAATGTAATCATTGTGTACCATGGACATGGACTCATACAAAAGATCTTTTAAACTCAAAATGCAGAATAACAGGAGATATAACAAATATACAAAACACTTTGCATATTGTAGTGCATGACACGCCACCTTTCTTGGCTGAAGACCTATTGTTTTAATCCATCTAGAAACAGTGACCATGCTCAGAATTTCTACATGGGTGTTTTTTATCCCAAACTTTTACCCCAAGTCCACCTTTTGAAAGCTAAAATATTGTTTACTTTTAAAGAATTTTTTATGTTCTTTCATTTATCTGGTGTTTTCAGTAGAGAAATACTAAAATTAGTGGCAACAATTCCTGCTTCTTCCTTTCCTCTCTGAGAAGCAACAGGTCCCTGTGTCTCTCTGTGACTTTGTCCTTAACTTCACCACTTCTCACCTTGGCAGCACAACCTTGGCACAGCTGCCTGCCAGGGCCCCACTTCCTTGCTGGCACCAGGACCATGGCCAAGCCAGGAGCACTGGGGAGGTGGCTGGGAGCAGTTCTGGAAATGGACAGCTACCACCTCATTGCTACTACTCAGCCGTAGCTTTACAGCTGGTGTCAAATAGGGCTGAATCAGTGTGCAGTTGTTGCTACGGAAATATAAGCTAGAGCAACAAGAAGGCCCATGCTTCCAATGTCAGGAGAACTGTATGATGTAGTCACCAGCACTGCAGAGTCCAGGAAACTCCTCCTCCTCTGCTCTCCTGGACTCTAGGAGCAGGAATTCCATAGGAAGGGCAGAGTACCTCTTCTGAGATGTCATGGGTGAGAAAACCATGGATGTTATTGCCAAGGGTCCCTTTGGTCTGAGCACCTGGTCAGCTCAACTGCTGTAGTCATCAGGGTGTTCCAGGCACAGTGTCCAGCTAAGGGTGCATGCTCTTCTGTGGTGAGGAGCTCCCAGCACTGGTGGTGTTCAAGTACAGGCGCCATGTCCATCACCCTTTGGCTGGTGTGGGGATAGCAGGGATGAGAGCCTTGCTTTCAGAAATAGCTCATGCCTGGCTGCATTCACGTGGCCTGTTCCTGATTCTTGACTTGACACATTCCTCAAAAAAAATTGCCCTCCTTTTATGTTATTAATCTCACCCATTACCTGGATCTCCCATAACCAAGCTGGTGCTGAGCTTCCCAGAAGCCCCGGAACAAAGCCATGGTCCACAGCAGATGATCACCAGGTGGGCGCACTGGGTAGCAGTTAGAAGCAGATGATCTTAATGATCCCATCCAGATCTTTCTCGCAATAATTAAAAATGCACCTCTGATAAAACAGGCAGAGACCAGGGCTCAGCAGTTGCTAAGGTCTCCCCACAAGGAAATGACCTTTCTGGTCTAGAAACCCTCTCCCTCCATGCCTGGAGGAACAGGTGCAGTGGAGGGAATGAGACAAACAAGCCAAAATGCTCCGGAGAAGATGAGCGGGTCGCTGGTGTCTGGAAACACAGTTCGGGAGGGAGAAAGGAAGCTGGTGGAGGTGACTCCCAAGGGGGAGAAAAGAGGTGTTTGATAGATGCCTCAAGGCTGGAAGGAGCCTCCCCAATGGGTGGCAGCAGACCTGTCTGGCTGGCTTCCAGGAGAGAGGAGGTGGACACGTACACCGTCTAGGAGACGGGTTTCAGAGGGGTGCAGATGTCATCCAACGCCATGTGGGCCTCCTGGCCCCAGTTAATAAAAGTATAGAAGCAGCATCCCGGAAAAGACAGTGAAGGGTGAGATTAAATCCTCTATTTTCTTTCTGCTCAGACTTTCAGCAATTTCTCCTCAAGCATCCAGGTGAGGGTGTGCATCCCCTGCCCATACCTCTCTGCGCTGTCCAGCTGCATAAGCGTAACTGCTGCTTAGTGCTGGGTCCGATTGCCTCTCCGTGGCCTAAGTCCAAGCCCTTGCATGTCAACTTCAACAGACTCCCAAAGGTGACAGAAATCGTGTCTCTCCCTGTGACAGGCCACATCCGCACCCTCTCCTCCAGGTTCTGCAGAAGTCACACCCTACTGCAGGGATATCTCAGCTCACTTCTCAGTCTTCTGTGCTGTCGTGCAAGGCCATTGTCTTTCCAGAACTTCGACTTCCTCGTCTCTGTCCTCCCTGCCAGGGCTGATCACTGGGAACGGTAAGTTCTGGTGCCAGAGCTGCAGGATGGTGAACGAACCAGTCCTTTCCAGAGTGGACTCTTCCTCTCTACTTAGAAGGTTCTAAGCACCCTCTGGTCTAGAGACTCTACTCAGTACACATTTCCATCCACTGCACAATTTATATCGTGTCATTTTCATGAAGTTGAACAAATGGTAATGATTAAAAGGAGGCATTTGCTATAAGACTCCAAATTCTAGATAAACATTGAAATAGTAAAAAGTAGAAATATTTAGTTCCCATGACACAAAACAAATGTTAAGAATAAACACACTAAAACTAAAAGGACTGTGGTTTTCCCCTGGATATGGCTCGAGTGTCATGCATTGGAAGGTCATGCATTGGAAGCTTGGTCCCTGATGTGATACTGAGAGGAAGCAGTGTCCTCAAGAGCTGGGCTGAGTTACAAGTAGTTAGGTCCCTGGGAACACTGCCCTCAGAAAGGATCAGTGTGGTTCTTGTGGGACCCTAGTCCTGCAAGTGTTCCCACCACTGTGATGCCATCTGCTATGATGTCCTCATGAGAGATGGGCAGAAGCCAGCACCCTGCTCTTGGACATCCAGAACTGACAGTTAATGACCTAATCAGCTTTTTCTATTTACAAATCACCAGCCTCTTCTATT